TTTTTAAAAATATTTTTAAAATTACAAAAATTAGCAATTTTAGTTTTTTTTTTATGCAGAGCATGCACATCATGACAACAAGGAAAACCATTCAATTGCCATTCATGGCAAGAACAAGTTTGTCTACCAATATCAACATAAAAAGAAATGGAAGAATGAACCTTAAGCACAGTATCACTAGCAACAATCACATCCCAAGACTTAGCTAGCTCCAAAGAGTCCACCAACTTCTTTTCCATAACTGGACACAATTTCGTAGTCCATCTTCTAGATTCAGCTCTTCTATCCGACAATTGAGTCATGATTTGAACCCTAATCATATCAACCATACAAGTAATAGGCAACTCACGGGCCCCACCAATCCAATTATTGTAAGACTCGGCAGCATTAGATGACATCTCACCATATCGTTTCCCTCTAAAAAATGCATTGGCCCACTTATCATTTTGCAAACCATCCAACATACTATCAACTCTACCGTTCCCAGCAATACGCCTCAATTTCTCCATATAATGTTGGAAAGAAGCAACCGTTGGCGCATAAGCACATTTAACTAATATTTTCATCAAACACAGCTTATAGTTAGTACGAAGTCCCACCAATTTGTCAATCAAATTTCTCTTCAAATGATTCAAGCAATAAGCATGATGTGCATTGGGGAAAACCACTGAAAGAGCGTCTAGCAATCCATGTTGACGGTCCGACACAAAAGTCAATCTCCGGCCTGAACCAACAGCCTTCAACAACTGACTTAAGAACCACATCCAATTATCTTGATTTTCAGCGTCAACAATCGCAAAAGCCAAAGGAAACAAACCTGCAAACAAACCCACATGAAACTGCAAAAATTAGCAGACTCACAATACAATAACACACTGACAAACTAAACCAATACTAACTGCAAATAAATACATACCTTGATTACCATCCTTTGATGTTGTTGCAAGCAAATGCCCCATGTAACGCCCCTTCAAAAATGTACCATCAACCAACAACAACGGACGACAAAATTGAAAGCCATACAAACATCCATGAAATGCCACAAACAACCTCCGAAAACACCCACTACTTTCATCCACATCTAATTCAAACACACTTCCGGGATTCGTTCTCATAGCCGTCTCAAGGTACCATCGAAGCTGGTCAAAAGAAGTTGCAAAATCACCAAACAACCCACCTCTTGCCTTATCAACTCCTAACCATGCAACCCGATAAGAAACATCTATACCATATTGCTTCTTCAACTTTTTTTTAACTTCAATAGGACGAGTCAACGGATTATCACTAATATCATTTTGCACAATATCAGACACAAATCTAGAACCAACCATCTTGCTACAAGATCTACGAGCAACAACCCAACAAGTATGCACATTATCCAACTTCATTATAAAAAAAAAATGCAATGCGGAACCCCGGCACTCCACCTTCAAATTCTTGACCAACACTATGTATAATCCCCTTCCAACTAGCAGACAACAAAACTCTCTCTGGTTCTGGATAAAAACTACGCAACAAACCACCAACATCATCACAATCATTCACAAAAGAACTCTCACAAGTTACAGAATCAATCCTACAAGAATCACCATCATCAACCTCCACAACTCTCTTATCCCCCACAATAACATCAACAACATGACAACCACTACCACCTACCATTGAAAGCATATTCCCCAAATCATCATCACATTCAACAATACAATTAGAATATCTAGGAATAGACAAAAACAAACAAAAGTTACCAACACTCAACTCCTTGAACTTCGCACATATTTTCTCAACAACTTCATCATAACTACATCCCTCACTAATCTTAATAGCAGCACAACAATTACTGTATTTGCACGTTAACATGAAACACCACTCCATGCTACAAAATCACAAACCAACAAACAATTGTTCACAGATTCCAAACTGCAAAATTATACAGTTACAACATATCAATACCAACAGTGCACAATTTACAATTCCAAATTGCAAAATTATACACTTACAACATATCAGTATCAAAACGCCAGAATTCACAATTCCAAAATACAACTTCAAAACACATTACACTATACGACAAACAAAATCAATAAAATCAAAATCAAACAAACAAAATTCGCCAAACACAAACCACATATCACGCAAATTTGCTTATATATATACATACATATATATCGACAAATACAAACCACATACACACACAGACATATATATATATATATACATATATATGTATATCTATGTATCGACAGATACATACATACACATACATATATCTATCACCAGAGAGAGAGAGAGAGAGAGACAACGTACGAAGATATCGCCTGTACACAGAGATTCAAATCGCACAACCAGATCCACCTCACAGCACAATGAGATCGACCACACAGCACAATGAGATCGCCACAACGAAGAGAAATCGAGATCGCGGAGACGAAGATTTGATTTTCTTTTTTTAAACGGAGCAAAAATTTGATTTTTCACGTATATATAGATCTCAAAACAAAGGGTAATACAGTCATTTAAAAATACAAAAATAAAAAACGAGATCTCTGGGTATAAAACTTAAAAAACTGTGGATCTATTGATCTATTAAAAATAAATTGGGATTAGAAGGGAAATAGATCCCCTACATAGGACTACATGGTAATTTTCCCTTTAAATTTTTTCTTTTAGTTTAGATGCACATTTTCAATTATAATTAGCAAGTTTCAACTCTTTAACAATGTCTAGATAAAAAGGTTGTGTCCTTATGGAGTGGTGCTCCATTATCGAGCATGATTCTTGCTTTTAAATTTTTAAATTTTACAGTTGTGCAGCTTCTCTTTCCCTATTTTCTTTCTACATTAATTGTATAAAAAAAAAAATAAAAATAAAATAAAATAAATTTATCTAAAATAGTTAAAAGAGGGTAATGAGAAGAAAAGTCTGTACAGTCTTAAGGTACGAAACTCTTATTATTGAAGTCTAAGAAAATTTAGATGTACTCGTTGATAGCTAGAAATAAGAAGAAAATCTCTACAGATTTATGGTAAAAAAAATGTCTAAAGTCTTAAATGGGAGGTCCTCATCACTACAAAGTCTAGAAAAAATGAAATATACACAATTTTATTTCAGCGGATTATAATTTTCATTATTTAAATCCATACTAGCCAAATCATACTCTCTTTTTTTTAACAAATCCCCCAACATAGTAGCAGTACAGGAACAAAATGCTAGAAGAAAATTTAAGACTGTGTTTGGTTTAGGTATGAAATTATAATTCCATCCTCCTATTTCAATGTTGTGTTTGGATATAGTTTTCAAAAATTGATTCCACACCCACGTATGAAAATTATTTTTAGAACATGTTTGGTAGAATGAGTTTTTGAATTTTGAATTTTGAAATTGGGTTTACTAGGTTGTTCACGCGGACATCTTCCCGGATAGTTTTTGAATTTTTTGATCTATTCGGTCATCCGCCCGAACATCCGGCCGGTTGACTGGAACAGTTTTTTTATTTTTTATTCTTACAATTGCCACCTGTTATTTGAAAAAAATAATTATTTTTGTCTTTGATATTTTTAAAATATAGAAATTTATTTTTTGAAAAAAAATATATATTTTCAAATTTTTTTAAATAAAAAAATATTTTCGGAAGTTTTTGAATTTTTTAAATAAAAAATTTATTTTTTTCAATAATTATTTTTTTGAATTGAATTTTAAAAAGAGTTTGGTTATGAGTTTTGAATAGAATTTTGAGTTGTGTGTTTAATTATGCGTTATAAGTTTTTGAATTAAGTTTTGAAAACTCTTTTCAAAACTCATAACCAAACAAATTTTTTCTTCTCAAATTATGATTCAACAACTCATAAACTTAAAATATAATTTCATTCTCAAGTCATAATTCTAAAATTAAACCAAACGCTACCTAAGATTCTCCTAAGCGGGTTTTTGGGTAGCTTTGGCCAACCATGTCAACTACCACCTGCTTCGGATTTCATCTGGGAGGTCTTCCATGATGATCAAGGCTTTGTTGGAAAATGGCTTTGGAGGTTTTGGAAAAACCTTATTTTTTTGCTAACTTTGAGCATTAATTAAGGTGAGACTCAAGCGTTATTTTTAACATTTTTTATTGGATTCATGTTTAATGTCGCGTAATGAATAAAACCATGTATTTGGTTGCTCAAAGTCATTTCTGGATGAATAAGAATTCAACGCGCGTTTTCGGGTTCGTGGAATGGCTTTAGGTGGGTTTCCTACACATTTGTGAAATGTGTTTGTCCCATATTGGAAAGGCTTAAGGTTTTGAATGAGTTTATATACCTTAGCTTGGGATATTTGGAATGGGCCCCAAGGGGTACCCAAGTTTGTGGAAGGGTGAGGTTATGGATAAAGTGGACTAGATCCATTGGACCCAAAACAAAAACCACACGCATGCCGCCGGTCGGCTGGCCTGGGCTGGGTCTAGGCTTGGATGCGGGTGCATGGTATGAGGTTGGGTTGGACCCAAAACAAAAACCACGCGTACACCGTTCGGGCGAGCTAGCCTAGGCACTAGGGATGGCAATTTAAACTCGGCCCGACGGGGACCCGATCCCCCAACCCCGATTAGAACGGATTTTCCCCGAAAATTATCCCCATAGGGCCGTGGATGGTATTAAAAATTTAATCCCCGATAATTTTCAGGCCGGGGACGGTGATAGCTCTTCCAGACTCGGCCCTGGCCCGGCCCCGCACAGCCCCGAACGTCCCATATATATATATAATATATATGTCTAGGCAGCTTTATATTATATATATATATATATATATGTTTAGACTACTTTATGATATATTATATATATGTAAATTTAGGTACGCAGGTTCTCAAGGAAGGACTAGTCAAAAAGCATTCTTAACTCTCACTATCTCTCTCTCTCTTTCTCTCTCTCTCTCTCTCTCTCTCTCTTTCTTCTCCTTTTACTCTCTGTGAGAGAGATGAATTCTCTTTCTTCTCCCTTTAATAAAAAAGCATTCTCAAGTCTCTCACCTTCCAGATTTAAGCCACGGAGAAGCATTCTCAACTCTCTCACCTTCCAGATTTAAGCCATGGAGAAGTCTAGAGATAGATCGGCGATGGAGAGCTGCTTCCAAATCTGAGCCGCGATGAACATTTCTGAGCACTACCGACAGCCGTTGATCGCACCACCGTCAGCGACACCACCACCACTCTCTCTCTCTCTCTCTCACACACACACCTCCGTTTGCTGCCTCGTCTTCAATGTCGACAACGGCGTGGTGTCTTCGACGACTTTGTCTTTAACTCCGTCAAGCTCTAGATCGTCGGCAACTTCTCCATTGCTGCCTCTCTTTCTCTCAATTCTGAGCGCTCTCGAAGAAGGTGAAGGCGGAGCAGATTGATTTGAGAGAACTATCGCCACTGTTTGTTTGATGTCTCTCTCTCTCTCTCTAGATCTAAGTTTTGTAGTTGTTGTGTTGATGTTGTTGATCTCTGTTTGTTGTTGGTGTTGATGTCGATGTTGATGATGATCAGATGAAACAGATTGTAGTTGTAGTTGTAGTTGTTGATGGTGATGTTGATGTCGATCCAATGCTCTTTGTTTGTTTGTTTGTTTTTTTTTTTTTTTTTTTTTTTGGGTTGGGATTTTAATTTTTCCTTCACCCAAACAGATCCCTAACTGGTTCAGACCCACCCGAACAGGTTCAAAGGGTTCAAAACAGGTTCATGTTGAATTTAAATTTGTATATGTTCAAACAGGTTTGTACCTGTTCAATCTATCTGAACAAGTTTCTATCTGTTTGGAAAAGCCATCATTTCTCCTATATAAAGCCTGCATTCTAACAATTCTTGGATCATATTTTTCCATCAGATTTTTGTCCTTCTTCTTCTGTTCGTCTTTGTGTTTCTGCATCTATTCTACATTTAATTTTTTAGAAGAAAAAGTGAGAGTTACAACAGAGTTTTGGTTGGCCAGACTTGATTTTATAGTGTTGTAAAATCAAGTGTCAGCCGTTGCATCCTAGGAAATAGACGTCAATAAATCTCGAGGCACCGAAGCGAGGGCGAAATCTACTTTGAGATTATGTCCAACACAAGCCTCGACTTTTATTTCTGTAAGCGTTTAATTCGGAATTTAATTTA